TGTCACAGGCTGAAGGTTTGGTTTTGGAAAATGAAAAGCGGATACGTGAGAAAGCGGCCCATGTGGGAATGAGAATTGCAATAAAAGGGGGAGATGCTGTCTGGCGCTGGTGTGTGTTTCTCCTCTGAGTGCTGAGGTTCTCTGCCGCTGAGGTTCGTCACTGAAGTGCTGGCCAGTGCCGGGGAGGCGGGCGCACCTCTCCTGGGACTCTTCAGCTTCATCTTAGGCAGCTGGATAAAATAATTCGTGATGTGCTGGTGCTGTGGGGGCAGAGGCTTGGTCTCCATTTCCACTAAATAAGTGTGTGGAATCAATACCTAACTGAATGTTTGTCGTGGGAACACCCCGAGGCCCCTGTGTAGCTGGTATTTTTCAAACTAGTTCCCAGACAGGAAAATGTGCAGCATGTCTCTTCTCCGAAATAGTTTCACTGTCTTTTAGGTGAGGCTGATGCATCTGGAAGTGAAAATGCTAAGAGTTTCATTTCACTAAAAATTGATTTTTTTTAAATTTTAACCTTTAACTTTAGATTATAATTAGTAGCGTTTTCAGTCTTAAGAACATCAAAGTGTATATATTCATTGACACGTTGAACCAGTATTCAGTGAGAATGTTTATGTGAAAAGAACTGTGTAGGTTGTTATAAAAAAATTTTTAAAAAATGCAGAGACCTGGTTAGTACTCTCAGGAGCTCAGAATCTAAAGAGGGAAACAGATCATTGCACAGCAGGACAAAGGCTATGTATGTGGGAGCATGTTACAGAGGAAATGACATCCCAGCATTTGAACTGCATCTTAAAGGGTTTGAGATATAGGAATCAGCATAAATAAAGAGGAATTTTGCCTCATATTATCAATAGTAAGGTTTCACCAGATTTTTCCCCCTACAAGCATATGATAATGAGATCAATAGTAAAATCAGATCAAAATTATCTAAATAAATTAAGACTTTTTGGACTAAATTTGTTTTACCTTTGCGTCTTAATTACATTGCAGAGAACTACATTTGCAATAAACTGGTTAATGGTTGTGGCCAATGAATAAAATGGTAATTCAGTATAAAAGTACTGTAACATTCTAGTGGTAAAACAATTAGAAGTTAAGAATTTAGCATTTTTATAATATTTTCTCTCTGTAGCTCTAATACTTCTCAGAAAAATGGTTAAGTTCCAATTAGAAATCTGACTTGCTTTGGGTTTTATCACTTATCAGAGAGATAAAGATGAATTATTAATAGAGATCTCAAATGCAATAATGATAGTACTTTATATTTAAGTAGCACACAGTACATGAAATACCTTTGTAGTCATTATTGAAATTTGGCCAGTATGTCAAAAAAAGGGCATCATGGGACTGATAAGTTTCTTTGTAGAATAAATTACTACCAGTTCATTCTGCTCACCTGTTCATTGGTAGCATTTGTAAACAATTCATTCTGACACTATTCTAAAAAATATTGTTGCAGAATTGTCTTGCCTCTTTTCCCCTCTTTGCATAAGTCTATTACATTAAATTTCAACAAATTTAAATCAGAATAGCACTTAATAGATAATGTGTTTGCTCTTAAATCATACACTTTCTGGCATATTAATTAGGTTAAAAGATAATATTTATTTATACTAGTAGAAGTTATATTACTCTGTCCAGTAATTTAAAAAAATGTATATCTATCTTGTTTTATTAGCAAAAGAAGTAATTTGCAATAAACATTCCTGATTCTTTAAGCTAAATATTTATGGCATTTGAATGATAATATTTGGTGTTTCTGTCATTTAGATTTTATAGATAATTTCTGAACAGCAATCCATCTTCTGTGTCGATGCTGTGTGCTTTTATACATATACTAGAGGCCCAATGCACAAAATTCTTGCAAGATTACGCCTTCACAGCCTCGGGCAGCTGCCTGGATCCCTCCCTCACAGCCATGGTGGTTTGAAGCCCCAGCTTAGTCCAGAAGGAAGTTTAGGGGGACGTTTGCTCTAAATAGCATATCACAGTTTTATTATTACAGATTGTAGTGAGTGAGACTCACCTTTATCCTTGGTTTGCTGAGTGCCTCTTCAGCCATTTTTATGGCTTTACAGAGGTGCTAATGCTAATTAATGTTTTACTGGTAGTAGGAAGAGGCATTGTCAAATAAAACTGTTAAATTTGAAGCATGAATTATAAATTCAACATGGTTGTCCTAACGGTAATATTGACAGTGATGTTATACAGTTACTATTTCCAGGTGCTTCTAGAGTACTGGGCTCTGTGCTAAACATTTTACTGGTATAATATTTAATTTTTCCAACTATTCTGTGAGGTAGGTGTTATCCCCATTTTACAGATTAGTTTATAACTGTTATGCATCATACCATTTAATAATTAAATATGCTATATTGATGTATTTTAAATAGTCAACTGTGGAGCTTTGCACATATGAAATGTATACTTTCATTCAACAAATACTTATTTGTTGATTATTTATATTCTAGGCCAGTGGTTGGCAAACTGCGGTTCTTGAGCCACATGCAGCTCGCGAGTCAGGGTTTGCCTCTCTGTTAACTAATGAGTTTGCCGACCCCTGACCTAGACTCTCGATTCCAATAATTACAGGCTGTTGTTGTTCCTTGTGATTAAGCACCTATCCAGTGGTCGGCAAACTCATTAGTCAACAGAGCCGCAGTTTGCCAACCACTGTTCTAGGCTGATGTGCTAACTCTGAGGACAGTGTGATGAGCCAATCAATACCCTCCTTTGCCTTGAAGAGGCTTAGATGCATTGGGAGAGATGGACTTGCTTAAAGCACAAGTACAGGAAAATATGATAATTGGTTTTCTAGCAGAGAGTGTTGTGGGAAAGAGGGCCTCATCTTCCCAGAGGCAGTTGAGAGGTCTTCACAGAAGAGCAGCCCTCACTGAGACTGGAAGAGTGAGTGTGAGTCTGAAGAGGGGATATGCAGCAGAAGCAGAACAGACCAAAGTGTGGAGATGAGGGGAGCCAGGCAGGGCTGCTCAGGGAGCTATAGGGCTTCCAAGGTGCTGAGGGTCAAGTGAAGCTGGAGGAGCGGCCTCGCTGGCTGGGGTCAGATCCAGGAGCCGTGCATGCTGTTCAGAGGAATGCAGACCTTATCCTCTGTGTCAGACCTTATCCTCTGTGTTGAAAAGCCATCAGCAGATTAATATAATACAACAAACACTAATTACGATAAGGGTTGTTCTTCCATCCCTCTCTCCCTCATTTATTCACTCAGCAGATTTTTATTGAGTGCCGATAATGTGCTAAGCATTGTGTTGACTATTGAGGATAAAAGGGTGGACAAGAGCACACGTGTTCTGCTTTTGTAGAGCTTACTAATTAGTGGCAGAAACAATCATCAGTCAATGGATCTATCAAAAAATGTAAAACCTCAAAAGTGGCCAGAATTAACACAGGAAAATGTTTCTGTAGAAGTATCAAGAAGATAGTGACCTGGCTAAGGAGGTCAGGAAAGGCTCCCTGAGAACAAGACTGAGCTGAGAGCAGAAGGAGAAAATGATACAAGGTCATTTGATGAAGAAGGTGGATTATTTGGGAAGAGGTCTCAACAGGGAGGACTAGGGAGAACAAGGTGGTTTTAAAGGCTTAAAAGTAAGGTAGAACACCTTGAGTGAAGGCTGGAAAAGAGCATGAAGGCTGGCTTGCACTGGGCCTGGGGGCTAGGGTAGGAATCTGAGCTCAATGGAAGACTATGCAAATCAAAGGGTGTCCCATGCTCAACAGCACAGAGGCATAATCAGAACAGTGTACACACTTACCTACATATATATGCAAGTATACAAAAGGGAAATCCTATGTGACCCATTAATAACTTTGATGTGCTCATATCTATTTTGTGTTGCAGTGATTCTAAGATCTGTATATAGTATGAAGAATTCTAAATAGGTAAAAAGTTTTTTTTTTTTCACCATAGATATATTGTGTACAGAAACTCCTCTCTTCATTTAAGTATCTTAAATAAAGGATTTCCATATGGCTCTTGATTTTAACTGCCTTCTTCCTAATAAAATTTAGCCAGTTAGGCAGGACTGGTTTTTCTTTAGTGTATTGGCACCCAGATTTGGGATTAGTTGGTACTTTTAATTTACTAAAATAACTATAAATCTACCCTTCATTGTAATATGAACATGTTGATTTCAGTATGGTTTGGGAATTAAAATCAAAGGATAGTCACATCCCAAAAGAGCAATGCTAAGACTTAGGGGCATATAAACTCTGAGGTAAATAAGATGATGCTGATTTGATGTTTAACTTTTTTTTTTTTTTGTAATAGTAAGTACAAAATCTGGAATTACGAGCATGGCCTCAGTGAATTGGCTCAGCAATGGGGCCTAGGAAACCAAAGTGCTGAGCATCAAGTGCAGCGATGACTGCTTTTTGGTTAATAATAGTGTGATGGAGTGGGGGTGATGGGTGTGAAGTATTAACAAAGTGCCAAGAACAAAGTTAGTGCTCAATAAATGTTAGTGATGACCTTGAATGTCAGTGATACCATGCTGGACCTGAGTCACCTACAGTTTTGAAAGTGAAAGTCAAGCTATTATGGTAAACACATGTATTGAGTTTGTTTAACTTTGGGATTAATAAGAATCATAGAGAGCATCAAATTCAGTGATGTTCCTGAAATTTTCTGGAGGAGAACTATTTTTTATTTCTCTGAAGTTTGGGAATCATTAGTCAGGGAAGGAGGGGAAGAAACAGGTTTAATTTGTTGGTGATGCCCCTAAGGTCAAAGGATAGTATGGGAAGCTTGTCATCCCAGGAGAGGGGAGGGAGGGAGGGAGTGTGTGTGTGTGTGTGTGTGTGTGTGTGTGAGAGAGAGAGAGAGAGAGAGAGAGAGAGAGAGAGAGAGAGAGAGAGAGAGAGGGAGAGGGAGGGAGGTTATGTACGTGTGTTTCTTTTTTCTTTGACCAGTTAATGTGAATGAAGGTCACAGCAAGCTGCCTTACTCAGTGGGAATATTGTTTTTGTACTTACAGGTCTAGGCATTTTACACTGAGTTTTCTACTGCCACCCTTTCTACTCAAGCAAAATCCATGTGAAAAGATCTGCTGGGAAGGAGCCAACTACTTACGTTTCTCCATTGTGATGAAAGCACATGGTACAGGTAAATATCTTCAAAATCTTTACCTAAAAATAATGATCATTTAATTATGAAGTCCCCAAAATAGTGGGATATATATATATATATATAAAATCTCCATTCTTCTATGCATACATAGACACACACACAAACACACCAACATACAATATAAACATAATCTCTAGATTCACATATTCTTCATCTCTTTATTCTTTATCTCTTTTATGGGAAAGAAAATAACTTCTGTGTATGTTGAAATCACTGATGAAGGTGGATGCCAAGACATTGATAAGAAACGGATTATTTGGATGATGGTGTTTATAAATTTAGCTAGAGAAACTACCATCAGATGGTAGTAGGGACCAGTATAATATATTCTAACACCTTTTATTTAACATTTTTATTCCTCTTAATTAAGGAAATAATGAACATATTTTCATAGCAACATATTTATCTGCAACAATATTTTAATAACTATATAGCATACCATTGAATTCATATCCTACAATACATTTAATTGATCCTCTCTAGTTGGACATTTAATTTGCTTCTATTTTTTTTTCTCTTATGTTACCAAGAATGCTCTGATAGCTTTACTAGAGGCCTGCTGCTCAAATTTGTGCATGGGTGGGGTCCCTCTGGGTGGCCTTCAGGGATTGGGCCAAATCCCAAAATCCAATGATACCTGCTGCTCCTACCTGCCGCTCCTACCTGCAGCTCCGCTCATCCCGGCCCCACTGTGCCTGCCTTGGGCTTGTGCCCAATCAGTCCCAATTGGGAGAGACTTGTGCTGCAGCACTCACCAGCCATGAGCCCTCCCAAGGGGTGTAGCCTGTGGTATTGGGCTGAAACCAGCTCTCCAACATTTCCTGGATCCAGGATTGAGAGAGGGCACAGGTCAGGCTGAGGCCAGCCAGGGAGGGACCATGAGAGGGCTCCAGGGCGTGTCTGGCCGATCAGCAAAAAGCTAACCTACTGGTCAGAGCCTCTTCCGCCTGGTGGTCAGTGCATGTCATAGCAGGTGGTTAACCAGTTGACTTTGCCCCCTGGTAGTCAATGCACATCATAGTGAGTGGTTGAGCATATCATTAGCATATTACACTTTGATAGGTTGTTCAATTGTTCTGCTGTTGTTCTATTTGCATATTACCCGTATATTAGATAAGGTGTTAATTGTCAGTATTCATGGCTTTCCTTAAGATAATTCCTTAGTAGTAACTTGCTGAATTTAAGAGTTTTTCAGTTTTAAAACTTTTGCTACTTGCTGCTAAATTCCTATCCAATAAAGTCAGATCAGTTTCTACTTCCAGAAGCAGTGTATGGCTATGCCATACAATTTTATCATTACTAAAAATTTTGAAAAATAAAAAGTCATTGCCAATTGATTATGAGACATGGGATCCCCATGGTTTTCAGGGGATGGCATTTATTAATAAATCATACTGTTTTTAAGAACCTTCCTGCTGTAAACAGTGGCATGTGTACATTACCAGTTTTTGACATTTGAGAAATAATACTAAATCAAGAAGGTATGGAAGGGTCCTAGGAAATTTTAAGTTTTCTCCTTTTATAGCCAAGTATTTTTAGATGACCACGAGATTGATGGAGAGCGATACTTTTTCACTTGAAAACAGTTTTTCTTTCCATAACAAGAATAAAAAGGTATTCCATAAACAGCCTATATTAAACATAGATCTGAAGTTGTATGCTCATTAGTTAAAATGTATGTGGGTGTCTTTATACATATGCACATATATCTCTATATGTACATATGTGTGTACACACATATCCACACACACACACACACACACACACACACACACACACAGACACATATCTGTCCAACGCTGGAAGCATGATTAGATATAACGGTGGCAGCACCAAATTGAGCAGAGGCTGTGGACCGCAGTGGGAAGATTCCAGGCTCCAGACTTTGTGGGCTCAAATTTTAACACTGCTCTTTTTTTGAAATGTGATGCCCAGCATGTTAACTTTCCATCTCGATGTCTAAGTTTATCAAATTTAGATAACAATAGTACCCATTTCATAGGGTATGGCAAATATATGTGAAATATTGACAATCATTAAAAATCCTATTCCGAAAGAATACCTAATGATATGAGAAAAGGGTCATGGCAGAAGCAACCAAACAAAAACAAAGTACTATGACCCTGACTGTAGTATAATCTCAGTTAAAAAAGTATTTTTTAGTATCTTTCCGAATGCCTTCAATTCTTATAAATGGAGTAATCCCAGTCCTGGATAAATGGCCTGACCAAAGGTGGCAAGTCAGAGACCCAGTGGTCACAGAGGTGTCCTGCCATCCGGCCAGTGGGCTTCTGGTTACAGCCCTTGGATGCTTGCTAGCAGAACCTCATGCACAACCCCAGCTGCCTTGCTGCTAAGGTGCGGCCAGCACCTGGGCATAGGCAAGCTTTGGGCCTCTTTGAGCTATGCCTGCAGATTCTAACTATCCAGCTTCATGTGTGAGCTGTTCTACAAGTCTCATCGTTTTTTCTTTTCAATTTTTTTTAATTTAAATTTTTTATTGTTTAAGGAATTACATAAGTCTCCTTTCCTCTCCCCCTCATTGACCTCTGCCTGGCTATTCCCACCCCAGCACACGCCCTCACCCCCCTCCTGTCCTTGTCCATAGGTTATGTTGATATGCATGCATGCACGTCCTTTGGTTGATCTCTTATCCTCCCCCCCATTCTCAGAGGTTGGATGGTCTGTTAGATGCTTCTGTGTCTCTGAATCTATTTTTGTTCATCAGTTAATGTTGCTCGTTATATTTTACAAATGAGTGAGATTATGTGATATTTATCTTTTTCCAACTATCTTATTTCGCTTGGCATAATGCTCTCCAGGTCCTCCTTCCATGCTGTTGCAAATGATAAGAGTTTCTTCTTTTTTACTACAGTGTAGTATTCCATTGTGTAGATGTAAAAAGGAACCCTTGTGCACTGCTGGTGGGAATGCAGGCTGTGCAGCCACTGGTGGAAAACAGTATTGAGTTTCCTTAAAAAGTAAAAAATGGAACTCTCATTTGACCCTACTTCTAGGAATACATCCCAAGAAACTAGAAACACCAATCAGTAAGGATTTATACCCCCTGAGTTCATAGGAATAATAAGATTTGGAAACAGCCCAAGTGCCTATCAGCAGATGAGTGGATTAAAAAACTGTGGTAGGCTCACCCTCCTCCTCCATAACTACATGAGCTTCCTTTCACTAACTACATGAAAGAGAAAATAGAATGGGAGGCCCCCGCCCTTAGGAAATATGCTTTATCCTACAAAAAGGGGGAAAACTGTGGCAAAAGTCCCTTGACCTTTAGCTGGATCATAAGTTTGAAAGTGGAAGGAATGAGGGTCAAAGAATTACTTGGTGTTAAGAAGACAAAAAATAGTAGATGACTTGTCTGGCTTCAGCTAATGTTGTTCACTAGACACTCTGGGACTTGTGTGTGAATTGTCAGTGTGTGTGTGTGTGTGTGTGTGTGTGTGTGTGTGTGTCGATGCTGCATTGTTTTGGCCCACATGTTCGTTTGAGCAGCTTTGTATTTTTCAGTAAAAGAGGAACATCTGAACTCCTTATTAGGACAGTTTAGCTTAAGAATTCCTCTTTAACAGGTCATACATATTTTCCTCCAAATGATGATGAGGATGAATAAGCAAATAAAACTTGCATTTGTCCAATATATATGTTGTCTCAACAAAGTTAATAATTTTGTAAAGGGAGGGACAGCAACAAATGTAGCAGCAAATATAGGTCAGAAAAGGAGTTCATGATGTTCTGCCAAGCTCCCGCGAGGTGCCTCGTGAGTGTAGGTAGACAGGCGCAATGTTGCAGGAGTGAGAATGGCAATTGCACTACCATATGGAACATTTGGTATTTGGAAAGCACTAGATTCCTCCTCAACTACAGAATCAATAGGGATTCAAACAGGAAGAAGTGGCTCTCTCGCTGTGAATCGCTGCTGGTTTGCAGAAATGCGGACGTGTTGACTAGCAATGCCTTATCAGGACGAAGTCCTCCAGAAAGACTGAAGAGGGGAGATATTTCAGCATATTTCAGTGGGCTATGGCCTTGGGCCTGTGGTCCAGCAGTGTTCGGTGGTCTCCATCACCAAACCACTTGTTGCAATGATGTAGGAAATCTCTCTGCAAGATCTACAAGATCAGGCCACATCAGTTTTGAAAACTCAATACATGAGTTCTATAGGGTCTTCAGGATGCCTAAACACTTTGCCAGTATAGTGGGGAAGAAAACTTTTGAATTGTAAGAACCTGAGACAGTGTCTTCATTTATTTTATATATATTTTACTGATTTATTATTATTTTTTTTTACAGAGAGGAAGGGAGAGGTATAGTTAGAAACATCAATGAGAGAGAAACATTGATCAGCTGCCTCCTGCACCTCTCCCCACCCCCTCCACTGGCGATGTGCCCACATCAAGGCACATGCCCTTGACCAGAATCGAACCTGGGACCCTTCAGTCAGCAGCCTGTGCTCTCTCCACTGAGTCAAACCGGTTTTGGCTGAGACAGTGTCTTTAAATGCTAAACTGATTCAGTCAGTCATCATTTATTTATTAGGCAAATACCCCTTTTGAGAGCTTCTACGTACTGGCACAGTTCTAAACATCGAAGACATTCAATGGGACAAGACGGACATGAGGCCTGTCCTGATGGAGCTTCCATTTCTAAGGGAGGTGGATTTGACAGCATCATGGCCTGCTGTGAGGAACAGGGTTGCTGAGCAGGACCATCCTAAAAGGAGGGGAAAGTATTGTACATCTGAAGTGAGAAGCTGGAGACACCAAGGGGAAAGACCTGTGAATCTGGAAGGCGAAAGGCAGAAAAGCCAGAGACTAGCCAGGGCCTGGCAGTGAGGCTGTGACTATTGACAGTGGAACGATGTAGCGAAATAATGGTGAGGCAAGAAGATAGATAACTATAAATCTTTTCTTGAATGCACAATTGTCAGAGCCAGTAAAAATTATATAGTTATCTCTCAG